GCCCCCAGGGGGGCCCCCAGGGGGGCCCCCCTGGGGGCCCCCCTGCGGGGGGCCCCTATGGGGCCCCCTATGGGGGCCCCTATGGGGGCCCCTATGGGGGCCCCCATGGGGGCCCCGTGAGTATTCAGAATTTAAATAAAGTGTTGATGAGCCCTGGTATTTATAAGAAGAATTTATTACAGTGGAATGTGTATACAGGTGCAGATAAAGAAGATACGTTTGCTAGTACAGATGAATGGGGGCCCCCCTCGGGGGCCCCTGAGGATACAGCTGAAAGGAATAGAGTAGACTATCGTCTAGCTATTAACTTTGAGCATAAGATTGAAGTTAAAGATCTACAGAAATCCTTAATGCAGGCAGCATGTGGGGGTCGTGGTGGGGGGCCCCCCGGGGGCCCCGGGGGGGGCCCCCCGGGGGGGTACCCTGGGGGGCCCCCTCAACCCCTTACAAGCGGAGCAGAACCACAACTAAGAAGAAAAAGACTAAGACAAAGTATTGTACACCGTAGCGGGCTGAGAATAGATCTAACAAAGGTACAGCAACAAACAAAACCTACATGGGGGGGGGCCCCCCACCAAGAAGCGAGAAGAGAGGCCCCCGGGCGGTGGCTGTATGAAGTTGAGCTCGAGTTACACCCTAAACAAATTGCTAAGGTAAGTGCATGCATATATGTATATGTATATATATATATATATATATATATATATGCAGTCTGTATAATATGAATATATCTTATATTAAATATAAAGTACATATACATATTGTATATATACATAATGTCTGCGTATAACATATATATATATATATATATATATATATATATATATATATATATATATATATATGTGTGTATGTGTGCAGGCTATACTACATCAGCAGCAGACAGGTGACCCTCGCCCTTTGTGGTGTTTAATACAAACATTTTTATCTCTGCTTCGTGAGCTGTCTGGTTGTTTGAATACACCGCAGAGGCTGAGGGGGGCCCCCAAGACAAAGGGGGGCCCCCCTGGTGATGAGGGTGAGGGTTTAATAGATATGAGTGATGTATGTATGGGTGCAAC